TGATCAATAATCAGTGTTGGGAAAGCTACTCTGAAACTGTAGTTTGACAAGCTACAAGCTACTCGTAAGTTAAAGTAGTTAAACTACAGACAAGCTACCCTTTTGGAAAAGTAGTTAGCTACACTACAAGTTACTACTATCAAAAAGTAGCTAGCTACATTGAAACTACTTTTGCTTTTTTTGAACAACGTATATTATAAATAACTGAATAAGTGTCTGAGGAATGTTTTAAGTAAAATATTTAGTGTTTAAAACAGTGCAATACAATTATGATTTCAAAGAGTATTGTTTTATTACACACAACACTGAAATATCTCAGACTGTTTGTCAAAAGTGCAAAATTGCAACAAATACAACATTGCAAGAACAAAATATATATCCAACGTAAATTGAATGTAGAACATTTTCTCAAAAATACCGGTAATTAACGTTAGTTGTTTATCCATCCTCCAAATCTGCCGCCACGTCTTGCTCCATCATGGGGTGTGTGTGTCAACCCACTTCTGTACGTCAGTGAACCATTAGCCGCAAGATGCGTGATTAAACAACAGGTGGCGGTAATGGCAAAAAATGAGTTTGTAATCTAACAAGAAAAAGGATATCCTTGCATCGCGCTGATTCGCGTCATTCGCGCAGGCTCGACAAAATGCAATGTAGCTTTTGCTCGAGCTACACCGCTACTTGCTGCAAAAAGTAGTTAGCTACTGGAAAAGCTACACTGTTTAAAAAGCAACTGAGCTACAGCCAAGCTACTGAAAAATGTAGTTAAGTTAGTAGCGTCCTTGTAGTTAACTACTCCCCAACACTGTCAATAATGAAGTGCACAACACAGTCCGTGTCAAACTTGAATGGGGTAAATATCTCCTCCAGGACTGCTAGAAGAGAGTGAGACGCTATTGTGGGAAACGATCTTCAGTTCAGGTCATCACGTCTTCAAGGCTCGCATTAATCCAAACGCCTGTCACTCACCAACAGCCAGATCATCACTGCGTTGAATTCGGAGCAGTGTGTCAGAGCTTAACCTTACGCTTTTCAGGACAGAAGACCCTGTTCTCAAGCCCGTGATGCAGGCAATTCATGAGGAAGGATCTGTAATGTAAAATGTACCAGTTTTGGAGACAATATCATGGTATTGTTATGCATAAACAAGCCATTCTCCCATGCTTGAAGATTTTATATATTCAGCTTTACCATCACAAGAATAAATAGCTTATAGTTGTCTCCCAATACGACCGCACGATTCAACACGTATCCAGTGAAGTTCTAGTTTTGGATGGATCGTCCGTCTAAAAGTTATTGGCAAAGGTAAAGATGCAGCTCCCATCAAAGTGATGAAAATGCAGCAGTGGTTTTTCCTCAGTGGAGGTCACTCATCGGCATTATGACTTCATAAATCTGCGCTCCAGCAAGTGGCGCGTACAGCCGGCTGATGAACAATTGGCAGGCAGCCCATCAATCTGCACACAAATCTCCATGTTTGACTCTTCACATACAACACCGGCCCCCAGGGGCCACTCGTTCAATCTCAAGAACACTATGATCAACTAGAAAAAATGAGCATGTCATGAAGGTTAAATCAAATTGGCTTTTGTTGACTATGTTGCCTACGTGCACGTTGTCACGGTTAGGGGACATTGTACAGATGAATTCGTTTATAGTCCACCAGCGCTCCGATAGGGAGTCATTTATCTTTTCGACAAAAAAGTCTGCCTTTCCTTTAGGAGAGTTCGGAGCCTCAAAATCTCATGCATGCATTCGCCATTTCCAGTCAAGATTTGAGCTAAAAGACAAGTCTGAGAGGGTGCTAGACAATTCTGACAAGACCTCGTTTCATTATTGATTGAACAAGACTGCGAGAGCACAAACTTGATCTTCCCGTTCTGAAGTGCATTACACATGCAGCAAATCAGCACAACCAAGGCCACCGCTCAGGGAAAGTGAACAATGCTTGTGTCCAAAGGCGTTTCAGCAAACGCAGTCTCAAACGCAGCATGCTGGAAAACAGCGGTTCTCAACTGGTGTCGGAAACCAAACACGGGCAAATAACTAAATGCAACTATCATGGAAACATAAAATGGCATAAGCAGGATTATCAACTTTTAAAAGGAAGGTGAAAACCCTTCCCATATCTTTTGTCGTTGGCTACCTTAGTGAAAATGAATAAAGCTAAGGTCAATAATTTCAATCAATTTAAACTACAACTAATACATTTCAATAATAATACATTTAAAGCTGCTGTCCGTAGCTTTTTTTGGGTTAAAAATTATCCAAAATACATATTTGATAAAATACATAACCAGCCAGTGTTCAAAACTATCTGCTTGCCTTAGCTCGATGCAAAACGGTAAGCTTGTAATAATGATTTTAATTCCAGTGGTACTGGTGGATTTCCGCGGGAGATTCGAGCATGTCTTTGCGTCATTACGTCACATCTGTACACATAAAGGAGGAGTCTCGGCTAGTATAAGCTATATTGCGTGTGAGGATGTTGGAGGTAGAGATTTATAGCCTTTTCTCACAGCACTTGATATAATTAAACTTATCAATTTGATGGCGGATCCAGAAAGGTTCAAACGACGATCATCCTCAGTGACAACTAGAGACTCACCCGCTGTAACATGCAAAAGACTTCGTTCGGACTTCGGAGTGGCTACAGAAAAAAAGAGACTGCAACTGGACCCATGCGAAAACAAGGATAATATCGGAAGGACATTACATGATGTAGTCACGCAATGCTTGCTGACGTTGTTAACATTAGCCGCTTTCCGACCAAGTAGTTACAGGAACTTAGTTATAGGAACTGTCCACTTCTAAACAGTTCTAAGAACTACTCTCCTCCAAACTCGGTTTTGCTGTTTGCGTTCGCACTGGCCAAGTGGCCATAGGAACTGGTAGGAGGGGTAAGGGAGTGACGCAAGCACGGCGGCGGCGGCGCCGCCACATACAACAACAACAAACCAGCGTGGAGGAGGCTATCGGAATGTTCCTGTTCTGCCTTGCCGGGAGCTTAATAACGAGTACGAACGGCGGCGTTTAAAGACTATGCTTGAGTTCTGTACAGAGAAACAAAGAAGACGAAGGCTCCAGCGTAATATGATCTTAAGTAATATAATGGAAGAAGATAGAAGAGCAGAGCGCAGGAGACAAACAAAACGACGGGTAAGTTTAGCAAGCATAGCAATTAGCTGGTTGAATGCGTTATGTTATGAGTTAGCATAGCATACATAGGCGAATTGCAACAGAGTGAGTAAAATGTGTTGACACTGGGCGTGACTTATAAGTTGAACCAATCAACGTAGACCTAGGGAAAGGGAACTAAAAAAGTCCTCGCTCTAGACTAGGTACTGAAAGAGTTATAGGAACTACGGTCTGAGGAACTAAAAAATCCCCAACTTAGTCCAGTCGGAACACGCGAAAAAAAAGGTTATAGGAACGTTAGGTTCTAGGAACTGCAAAAGTCCCTCCGGTCGGAAAGCGGCTAATAACAATTAGAGAACATAGTATAGCTACTTTACACGGTTTAGCGTGAAATGATAACTTATAAGCAATTGTTAGATTTAATCAGCGCGATTTACTGCAATGTCAGAACCAGAACAAAAGTGAATGTTTCTTACTAGTTCAGATGACATTTCCCGGTGAAAATTCTTATGTTGGTCATACTTCCAAAAAGAATAATCTGTGATTCTGAATGACAATATCCACATCGGCATGGTAACTGACAGCTGCACACTCTCCTCAAACACTGTGTTCATCCGCGCTGTGCCGTGTCGAGGGTGTTGAACTACAACCCACGTAAAGTTGATAATTCCGCGAATGACTGCAATTGCAGATTTCGAACAGAGATGGCGACAAAGAGGAAAAATGCCGGACTGCAGCTTTAATGTGTTTTATAATAAATATATTAAATATACAATACAGCATATTATAGATACAACTTATTTTAAACAATTTATTTTAATTAACAATCATTTATTTTATTTTATTTTAATAATACATTTCAATGATAATATGTGACCCGATCTGGCGAAATGAGTCGGAAGTCGCAACGTTCTATTTTAAGATATGGGCCGATTATGTGGAAAAACAATGAAATAATAGTTGTTGTTTTTTGTGTGCTAATTTCAAAGAACAGACATTCAAAAATAATCTCCCAATGTTTCGTAGTCTAGATAATTGAGTAAAGGTATTTAAATTACTATTAAAGTTTACAAAGTTTTACTAAATTCGCTGGAAATGAACATTGCTTTTCTCAACGCCTCTCGTCACCTCTGAGCATTTCCCGGGTATCCCCTGAAACGTCACTATCTCTGCTCTTTATATTGTGGTATTATATTCTGGCTAACTATCTGTGAATAAATATATATATAAATTAAATATATATAAATATAAAATAAAAAACAATGTTTTAAAGAATATATTTTAACAATATTTAATTTTAATTAAATAATAATTTAAATAAATTTAAATAATAATACATTCAATGTTTTTTTAATAAACAGCATTAGAAATTATTATATATAAGTAATATAAATCTTAGGTAAACAATATTTTAAACAACTTATTTTAATTAACAATAATGTATTTTGTTTTATTTAAATACTAAATTCTAATAAATTACAAATAATACATTTCAATAATACTACATTTCTGTTTTCCCCTGCACCCAAAACATTTAAGCCCTATTTTCAGATTTACGAGTTTCAATTGCATAGTAAATTTCCATCAAATTGAATTGAATACTTCTTACATATTATTCATATTATGAATTAAGAATTTCAAGTGAGTAAAAAAAACTAGAGCTTAATAAAACATTTTGTATAAATCTTAATGGAACAAGAGATTTGCATTCATAATTTTTTTTTTTTTTTTTAAGAAAATATGTTTAAATCTATACGGATGACATAAACCTTTTTTGAGTGTGTGTTCATTCATCATAGCTGTCCAATCTGAGCCCTTAAGCAAAAGCCAGTTGAGAACCACTTTAATAAAAGTGTCCTTACCTCGGTCGGCTCTTTACATGCTCATCATTGCGTGCGGCTGAACGGACGGTCCGGAGCGCTCCTCACATTCGGACAAATCCTCACTGCGGTGTGTGTCATTCTGGAAACAGACGGCAGCTCAGTTAGACATTCACATCAGAACCTTCATATTCCTCTGAAACGAACACATTCAGGGTTTAAGCAGCTCAAGAGGAAGAAATTAATCTTCACAGATAATTAGCCAGAATATAATACCACAATCAAGAGACTAATGATTGACTAAACGTTCAGTCTTTGCATTGTGTGGTGTTTCAAAAAGCCAGACACTGTGTTTTTTGTTAAGAAAAAGTAATAGTTGTTCTCTTCAACAAGCCACATTATTCATAGCACAAATAATTAGAGTCATGAATTTATTCACATCCTAAATATGAGCAATAGTGATGCTGTTTTAGCAAATACCGCTAATAACTCAAGATTCAGTCTAAGTTAAACATTACCAGACTAAACAGGATTTAAGAATGTCCCGGAAGAAATGTTTGTCTAATAATGATTCTCCATTGACAATCATTTCAAGCTCTGACAAGCACACAAATGGGTTCAGGTAAAGCTTCCTGAGTCACCGAACATTTATTCTGATCCTGTCCTGATTAAATATCCTTAAAACATTCCCTCAGCGATATAATTTGGGTTTTATTGCAGCAAGGTCTGAACCAAATGAATTCAGCAGCAGATTCAATAAACAAAGCGAGTACGAACAGCTCACTCAAATCTAATGAAAGGGAATGGAGATCTCCCTGTCCATGTCCGAATATGATGATTTTAATCCTGGGGTTGATCAATTACTCCTGTCACCAAAAAGAAACAATGCAATAAAGTTTGGATCAGTGTTAACCTTTATTTCATCAGCCATTCGGTTTTATTCAGAGCTGGATAGATTGTACACAACGGTATTCAAAAAGAAAGCCAAACCATGCTTTATGGATGGATGGATCGATGGAAGTATGTATGTATGTATGTATGTATGTATGTATGTATGTATGTATGTATGTATGTATGTATGTATGTATGTATGTATGTATGTATGTATGTATGTACGTACGTACGTACGTGCGTGCGTGCGTGCGTGCGTGCGTGCGTGCGTGCGTGCGTACGTACGTACGTACGGACGGACGGATGGATGGATGGAAGTATGTATCTATGCATGTATGGATGTATGTATGTATGTATGTACGGACGGACGGATGGATGTACGTTTGTATGGATGGATGGATGGATGGATGGATGGATGGATGGATGTATGGATGGATGTATGGATGGATGGATGGATGGACGGACGGACGGACGGACGGATGGATGGGGATGGAGCTGTCATATGAACTTTTTCATGTAGTGGGCATTCAATATACAGTATGCAGAAAATGTGCATACTCTAGTACTCTATGTTGTTCTGAACACAGCCTGTGCAACAATACTCATATAGTATAATAAACAACAATGGACAAAGGTTATATGTCTACAAAGATAAAGACAATGAGTCTATATTATCTGTTATCATTCCCGTGCATCTCAATGCCAGTTGCATCCAGCTCTGCATTCGCTAAACACCTGAGAAACGGGAATGCTCACGGTTAGAGTTCTCCAGAGATATTACAACTCACTGATCACGGTCAACATTAGGGGGGTTGCAATGACAGTAATAAAAGAGTGCCAAACAGAGCCAAACAGGAAAATAAAAACACCACAATAAGACCCAGAATGAATGAGTCAAGTAAAATGCTTGAGAGCGGTGGAAAAGCCATCATTATGTGCAAAAGAAAGCAGCGCAGGTTTGGGAGGTTACAGTTCTCACAGGAGCTTGTTCTGTGAGAGAGTGAGAGCAGCATTAACTCTCATCTGAAGCATGACGATGCAAAAACAAATATCGTCAATTATTCAATGATGCCGGACTCTGTTTCAGAAACACACAACGTCGGCCGCTGTGATGGACACTCAGCGAAAGCTTTGATTCTTCAACTAACGCTCTTATAAATAGCTCATTTATTTGATTTACAAGACAGCGTTTCTTCACCCTTTTCATCTTCATAGAGAGTGTTTGGTGCCCTTTAAAGATAAGCTTGGGGAAATAACAAGAAAATATGAGTCTAAAGGAGAATGAAGTGCTAAAAATGACTCGACATGACCAGGAACCGTGAACCCCATCCTCCCTCGACCCCAGGAATCGCTTCTATAATGTCTGATCCAGTGTTATTTACCATTGAGATACTACTGTAGTTTTTTTTTAATATAATATTTTGAATTAGTTTTTATTTTTTGATTTTCTGTTTTCATTTTAAATTTCAGTTAATGTTTTAGTAATTTTGTTGTGATTTGTCATTTTTTAAACATATTTTTTATTAGTTTTATTAATTAATTAGTTTTAGTTATTTTAGCACATCAAGTTAAACTAAATGAAAATTAGAAATATTGCCTTGGCAACTAGCTGAAATACATTAAGTTTAAGGTTTTTAAAATATTTTATTTCATTTATCTTTTATTTTATTTCCAGTCACAAAAATAATATTTATTTTATTTTTAATTGTTTTAGTCTTAGTTATCGCTACACTATGTAACTTTCGGCCCTCTATAGCAGTTAAAAAACAAAACTGCATGAATTTTGAGAAAGAACATTGTTCTTCGGCTCTGCGTGACTGTGTGGATGAATATGATTATTCTACTGCTCATAAAACATTCACTACTAGGCTTAAGAGATATGACCAGTTTAGATGGAAAGGATCTCAAGTTGACTAGCTGAAAACATTACTGTAGCTTTACCCAATAATAGACAAATTGCAGAACAGCGCTACAACAACCATAATGAAATGATCTTCACAATAGATTCTTTACAATGAACACTGTTAAAGAGCTACATACTGTCTGGCTGTTTATCTGTTCACTAAAACACCTTACTCACATGTTGAGTAATAAAAACACCATCATCTCTGCGTCGCTTTTACAACATTTCAAATCCCTCAGTTCTCGTCATCATTGAAAAGCTAAGCCGATGTTGATTCTTGTTTTATTACGAGCTCTGTCTCGTTCTCTTTCTCCAGCAGACTCTCCTCTGTTCGGCGTTTGGTTAAAACGGGTGATTCTCCAGAGGTTGGAGATTTACCTGCTTCATGTCAACCTTGTGTCCACACTAGGGTTGCCGCGGTGAGGAAAATTTCCCACCGGTTAATCGACGTGTCACAACACCGGTAATCCCGGTGTCACCTTGGGGGGCGGGGCGGGGGGGGGGGGGGGGTTAAATAGCTTTTAAATGCGTGCGCGTTATACTTTCACTTTCGAAATAAGCGTCAATTGCTTGAATGGACAAAAAAACAACAACTCGGCTCGCTGATAATAAAACGTTTATTTATAGACAGAACTTTTATTAGCATAACGAACGAATAAAAATAACCCCATGCATAGGCTGAAAATCGTCAAACTGTGGGCCCAAACAAATAAGAACCATAAAACGTTTATTAACGAATAAGAAAATAAAACAGGCCTAAATAAATTACACATTCCGCCATTATCTGGCTTTTCTGTAATTTGACTCGTTCTCATCTCCACACGTGCTAAATGGAATCCTGATGCTTGCTGATCTGTGACGTGACTGGCTATTGGCACGCACTGCGCAGTTCAGTTTTTAATTATAATGTATGCTCTCTTCTGAACTAAATAATTGATAATTATTATTTTTAATTAATTCAAATAAATATTTTAGCAAAAACGAAATACTTTAAAAAAGTCAAGACATCGCGGTGTCACGGTGGGAAAGTGATGTCACCGGTGATGGGGCTTAAAACCGGTAACACCGTCAACACCGTCTATCGCGGCAAGCCTAGTCCACACACACACACACACACACACACACACACACACACACACACACACACACACACACACTACTGGAGAAACTTTTCTCTGTTTACGGATCTGACGAGACACACACGGGCGAGTGACGCATACACAATTTACCACAAAAACCATCCCGACAGGTCTAAAATATAAACACTTATAATATGCTCACCATTATGGAAGCTTGTTTCTGCCACTGAATAAAAAAAATAAAAAAAAATAATTGCGACTTTTTATCTCACAATTGCGAGATATGAAGTCAGAATTGTGAGAAATAAAGTCGCAATTGCGAGATATAAAGTCGCAATTATGAGAAATAAAGTCACAATTGCGAGAAAAAAAGACAGAATTGCGACTTTTTATCTCACAATTCTGACTTTTCTTCTCACAATTGCGAGTTTACCTCTCGCAATTCTGACTTTGTAACACATAATTGCAAGTTTATATCTCGAAATTCTGACATCTTTTCTTAGAATTGTGAGATATAAACTCGCAATTGCGAGTTATCAGGCCAATTCTAAGGGGGGAAAAATTAACTTTTTTCCCCTTAGAATAGTTTATATCTCACAATTCTGACTTTACAACACGCAATTTCGACTTTATATCAATCAATTCTGACTTTATATCTCGCAATTCTGACTTTATAACCTGCAATTGCGACTTTATATCAATCAATTCTGACTTTATATCTCGCAATTCTGACTTTATAACCTGCAATTGCGACTTTATATCAATCAATTCTGACTTTATATCAATCAATTCTGACTTTATATCTTGCAATTGCGACTTTATATCAATCAATTTCGACTTTATATCAATCAATTCTGACTTTATATCTCGCAATTGCGACTTTATATCAATCAATTGCGACTTTATATCACGCAATTCTGACTTTATAAGCTGCAATTGCGACTTTATATCAATCAATTCTGACTTTATATCTCGCAATTCTGACTTTATAACACGCAATTGCGACTTTATATCAATCAATTCTGACTTTATATCTCGCAATTCTGACTTTACAACACGCAATTTCGACTTTATATCAATCAATTCTGACTTTATATCTCGCAATTCTGACTTTATATCTTGCAATTGCGACTTTATATCAATCAATTGCGACTTTATATCACGCAATTCTGACTTTATAACCTGCAATTGCGACTTTATATCAATCAATTCTGACTTTATATCTCGCAATTCTGACTTTATAACACGCAATTGCGATTTTATATCAAT